ATCCGGACCCTGTGGTAGAGACTTCATCTTTATCAGCGGTGCAACCTCCTGAACCTACTTACAACCTGGCTATTATGGATGAATTGGATGAGACCAGGGCATTGTCATGCTTACAGATTGAGACAATAGTGTATGCTTGTCAGAGGCATCTTCACCATCTCCCTACTGGTGCTAGAGCAGGTTTCTTCATTGGTGATGGAGCCGGTGTTGGTAAAGGGCGTACAATTGCTGGGCTGATCTGGGAGAATTGGCAGCAGGGGAGGCATAAGGCGTTGTGGATTTCCATTGGTTCAGACTTGAAATATGATGCCCGCAGAGATTTGGATGATGTTGGTGCAAAATGTGTGCAAGTGCACGCATTGAACAAGCTGCCATATTCTAAGTTAGACTCGAAGGCCACTGGGATCACAGACGGAGTTGTTTTCATAACTTATAGCAGTTTAATAGCATCCTCTGAGAAAGGGTATTCACGTTTGCGGCAGCTGGTAGAGTGGTGTGGATCAGAGTTCGATGGTCTTGTGGTGTTTGATGAGTGCCACAAGGCTAAAAATTTGATTCCTGAGGCAGGAGGTCAGCCCACTCGCACTGGTAAATCAGTTCTTGAGATCCAGGAAATGTTACCTGAAGCTCGGGTGGTTTACTGCTCAGCAACTGGTGCATCAGAGCCTCGGAATTTAGGGTACATGGTCCGGCTTGGTCTCTGGGGGGACGGAACATCATTTCAGAGTTTTCATCAATTTCTAGGTGCTCTTGAGAAAGGTGGTGTGGGTGCCCTTGAACTTGTTGCTATGGACATGAAAGCTAGGGGCATGTATGTTTGCCGCACACTTAGTTATAAGGGTGTTGATTTTGATGTTGTGGAGGCACCTCTGGAGGACAGAATGATGAATATGTACAGAAAGGCAGCTGAATTTTGGGCTGAGTTGCGTGTTGAGCTCCTATCGGCAAGCGAGTACTATGCAGAAGACAAGGGCAATTCAGCTCAGATATGGCGGTTATACTGGGCCAGCCATCAGCGTTTCTTTAGGCATATGTGTATGTCTGCAAAGGTACCTGCTGTTGTGAGGTTGGTGAAGGAAGCCTTAGCAGAAGAAAGATGTGTGGTGGTTGGTCTCCAGAGCACTGGTGAAGCTCGAACAGAGGAAGCTATCACAAAATATGGTGTTGAAATGGAGGACTTTATTTCTGGCCCTAGAGAGTTGCTTCTTAAGCTGGTAGAAGATAACTATCCCTTGCCTCCAAAACCTGATTGTTCTCAGCAAGGTGAAGAAAAGGTTACGGAGGTCCAGCGTAAGCGGCATTATGGACCCGATGTATCCTTAAAAGGACGAGTTAGGAAACTCGCAAAAATGGAAGATAGTGATGATGGAATGGATACACACTCTCCATTGGAGTCAGACCATGAATTAACAGATTCTGAAGAGGAATTGCATATGTGTCAGATCTGCAAGACCGAGGAGGAGAAGAGCCTGTTGCTTCATTGTTCCAATTGTGCTACAAGTGTTCACCCTGGCTGTCCAATTCCACCATGGACTGGAACGTTGGCAGATGATTGGTTATGTTATGCATGCAAGGAGATAATAGAAGCCTATTTTAAAGAGAGAGATGCTTACATGGCTGAACTATCAAAGAGATATGACAATGCAGTGGACAGGAAGTCAAAGATTTTAGAAATCATCCGCGCTTTAGATTTGCCTAATAATCCTCTAGATGATATCATTGATCAGCTAGGTGGTCCAGACAATGTTGCAGAAATAACTGGAAGGCGTGGCATGCTAATAAGAGCATCAGATGGAAAAGGTGTTGTTTACCAGGCGCGGAACACGAAAGAAGTTGCATTGGACATGATCAATATGCATGAAAAGCAGCTATTCATGGACGGAGAAAAGTTCATCGCAATAATATCGGAAGCAGGATCAGCTGGTGTTTCCTTACATGCTGATCGAAGGGTAAAAAATCAGAGAAGAAGAGTACACATAACACTTGAACTTCCTTGGAGTGCAGACCGTGCAACCCAGCAGTTTGGGAGAACACATCGTTCTAATCAAACTTCTGCACCTGTATATAGGATTCTTTTTACCAACCTTGGTGGTGAAAAGCGATTTGCATCAATTGTGGCAAAGCGACTAGAGTCTCTTGGAGCTTTAACACAAGGAGATCGAAGAGCTGGACCATCACTTAGTGCTTTTAACTATGACAGCAGTTATGGGAAAAAAGCCCTGACAATGATGTATAGGGGTATAATGGAACAGGATGCATTTCCAGTTGTGCCTTTGGGATGCTCTGAGAATCAATCTAGTCTCCAAGAATTCATCACTAGATCAAAAGCTGCATTAGTGGCAGTTGGAATTATCAGGGATGCTGTAATCTGCATTGGAAAACATGGAGGAAAGCTTACTGGTAGGATCGTTGATTCTGATATGCATGATGTGGCCCGTTTCCTCAACCGTATTCTGGGATTAGCTCCAAACATCCAGAATAGGTTATTTGATCTCTTCACAAGCATACTCGACTTAGTAATTCAGAATGCACGAAGTGAAGGACGGCTTGATTCTGGTATTGTTGATATTAAAGCAAAAAGGGTTGAAATGAAAGATCCGCCTAAGACAGTTCACGTTGATAGCCTGTCTGGTGCTTCCACGGTGTTGTTCACTCTTACAATTGACCGTGGAGTTACTTGGGAGTCAGCCAAGGCAATGCTTGAAGAAAGGCAGAAAGATGGTGCATGTTCTTGTAATGATGGGTTTTACGAGTCCCGGAGAGAGTGGATGGGCAGAAGGCATTTCATGCTAGCGTTTGAAGGCTCAGCGGAAGGAATGTACAGAGTAACTCGCCCTGCCGTTGGGGAAGCTTCAAAGGAGATGCCTTTGGCTGAACTAGAAGGGAAGTACAAGAAGGTCTCATCGGCTGATAAAACTGGGGAGGGCTGGCAGGAAGAATATGATGTGTCGTCCAAGCAGTGCATGCATGGGCCCAAGTGCAGACTTGGAAGCGATTGTACTGTGGGCAGAAGGTTACAGGAGATTAATGTTTTGGGTGGTCTAATACTTCCTGTGTGGGGCGCGGTAGAAAAGGCCCTGAATAAGCAGGCCCGACAGGCTCACAAGAGGATACGTGTCGTCCGCCTGCAGACAACAGATGACAACCATCGGATTGTTGGGCTTGTCATTCCAAACACAGCAGTGGAGTCGGTGTTAGAAGGTCTGCAGTGGGTCCAGGACATCGACGAATGATGTGGAAACTACAGGTTATTTCTCTGCACATTCTTCGGTCTGGTGTTGTGGACCAAATTTCTGTAGCTAAGGAGGTAGCTTTTGAGGTTTAAGCTTTCTTTCTTCTTTCTTCATGGGGTGGGAGAGGACAGCTTGGTGTGATGGATGATGGTTAGCTCCGAGATTAGGAAAGTAAATACAACATCTTCTGTCTATTGGAGTATTTTTTTTCTTGCTCAAGTCTTGCTAAAAAACATATTCAGTCACCCACAAGTTGAAGGGCCGTCAGTGAATGAAGAATAGTGATTCCCCTGTCGATGGCATTTAGGAAATTGTAAAACTGCTTGTTTTTGGGAAGATATATGGTTTGGAAATTCCCCATTAGCTACACAGTTTGGGGACCTGTAGTGTTTAGTTAATGAAAAGAACAAAAGTGTGTTTGATCTCTGGGATGGGATACAGTTAAGATGTAGTACTCCTACTAAATCAGCGACAATTAATATGGATCGGAGGGTACCTTTCTGATAACCTTTTCAGTATGGCTTTGAGTCTGTGGTATGATCCTGAGTCAATAGCCAAGTCTGGTTTACTTGGAACAGGAAGACTCTTCAATTATGGCAGTATGAATCTAAGGGGGTGTAGCCTTTGTGTGGCATTGTTAATTTTAGAGATGCCCAGCCTATCTTTCTTCCTGTTGTGTGGCATGTGAAGGTGCCACCCAAAATCCAAGGGGTTTTTGTGGCCTCTATCCCAACATAAAGTAATGGCATATGACATTATGGCTAAACCTCGTTAGTGCATCCACTGTACTGAAATTGAATCAATATGTCCTCTGTTGCTTGAGTGCATTGTTGTCAGGACAGTTTGGGATGATGTTAAGCAAGTAAATTTAAAGTTGCCATTGTTGATTGTAAAACACCTGCTGCTCATTGCTGGTTTATGCAATGAGAAGTTCTTGCGCTTAAACAATCTCTAGTTTCTGATTGAAAAACCTGAATCTCTCTGAAACAGGTTTGGCATCTGATGGTGGGGGGCTACCTGGTGGAGTGTTGAGGGATCTATTCTACTACTCAAGAACTTAAGGTCACCCTGGCACTAGAACCATGGATTCATTCATCTCGGGCGGCAGCCCGTTGGCGATGCAGATCATGGAGTAGCTTCGCTGTAGTAGTTGATGGAAGGAAGGGATGGGGCAACGAAATCCATGGCGTCGGATTCTAGCTGTGGCGTCTTCTCCTCCCTCCCTCGCGTGGCCTTTTGGTTGAGTCCGCAGTTTACTGCTTTGCTGTAATGGTGCTTGGGTGCCCTGAATTTGGTTGGCCTTTTATCCGTTTTGGCCGGGGCCTGGGGGTAGAAACATGTATGTAGGCTTAAAAAAGTTTGGCTGCTTGAAAACCTGATAACATCTTGGACTTAGGGGGACGTTCTATGGCATGTGGGCCCCTGAATTCAGTGCTGCAGATGCATCCTTGACGCTATGAGGTTCTAGTTGTGAGTTCCTTCATTTTAGATTGCCGTTGGAAACTTATTTGGAGTCGGAGTCGTCGGGCTCAGATCGCTTCCCGTCCGACTTCCTCAGATTCCAGTCTGAGTCGGATCGGGCCCTCTCCACGTACTGCATCAGCTGCATACATATATGTACTACACGCATACACAGGTCTTGGCGCCAAGGGAGGTTCATCGTTGCGCACGTAGGCTTGGCTACCTCCAAGTGTTTCTCAACCAACGACGATCCATCAGGCGGCGGCGTTCATCGTTCGCCACTTCGTCAGGCGGCAACCGAGCCCGATGGCCGACGCCCACGACGCACCGCTGGTGCGCCTCTCGTGCTTCCACGGCGACGACAGGTGGACGGACTTCGTCCGTGGCAGGTGGGCGGCGGACCCGTGCGCCCCCATCGAGGCCGCCTACGTCGACGCCGTTGGCCGGCTCCCCGTCCACGAGATGCCAGACCTCTTCGACTGCCTCTACCGCGGCGGGCACTGCGTCGGCCTCCTCGACCCCGCCTCCAACGTCATCCTCAACGGCCTCACCCTCCTCTGCCGTCGCCGCAGCGGCGCCTACTCGCCGCCGGAGGAGGACCGCTTCCCGCCACCGCCGGATCCTCGGCATGTGAGCAACTGGGGGTCCATCGCCTTCAGATCTTACAATGGCCTCCGCGCCTTCATGCACACGTACTTCCGGTACCTCAACGATGACCAAGCTCGGTTCTACCTCCACCTCTCCGGCGGGGACCTCCTCGTCGCCATCCGGATCGCCGAGCTCGAGCAGTTGGCCGCCGTCGAAGGGGCCGTTGATCAGGCCACCGTCGGCCGCCACCCAGACCTCCTCCGCGAACGAGCCCAGTTCGCTCTCGCCGTTGCTGCCATCAAAGCAAAGCACCCCATGCCCGACGACCTCCTGCTGCTCTGCCAGCCAGCGCTCCAGGAGACGGCCGACGACATGAAAGACGTCCTCGCCACCTTGGAGGAAGGGCGGCGCCTCACCGTCCATGACGTCGAGGCCATCCTCGGCGTTCTAAAATCGCAGCTGCGCCATCGCACGGTCTGCTCCCGTCTGCAACTCACCTTCACACAACGAGGACGCGGCGAGACCTTGCATTACCGCCTCAACGGCCAACATGGAGGAGGCCTGCAGTTCCAGCAGTGCGCGCCATTCAGCCTCGCCAGCCTGCGCTCTCCCGAGGCCGTGCGGCGCAAGCTCGAATCCAGCCTCGCGCTCATCCCCGAGCACACTCCGCACACGCCGGCGGAGGTGGCCGACGCGCCCCCGACATGCGGGCACATCGAGTACCTCAAGACGGGGCTCCTGGACGTCATCCACGCCATGTACGTCGAGGCGCTCGCCAGCTTGCCCCGCGCCGCGCTCCGGCGTGTCCTCCGCGGCATCCTAGTCGCCGGGCACTGCTACGGCCCCATGGACCCCGCGTCCAACATCATCATCCATGCCGCTTGGTACAGCGTCATCGCGCCCCCGTTGCGCCCCAGCATCGAGCCGGACGTGCTCGGCGTAGACGCCCTGCTTCGCCTCGAGGTCCACTCCCTCGACGGCCTCGTCGCCGCCGTCCGTGTCGCCACTGGCTTCTCAGAGCACCAGGCCGTGGAGCACCTCAGCACCAACCGCTGCGACATATCTGACATGCTTCGGAGGGCGGCGCCGGAGACACGCGGCCAAGCCTTTTATCGTGCCAGCGAGGCCGCCAGACACCCCCTCGGAGAGCACCACTCGTCGTTCCTCGCATCCCTGGCCTCCTCAGGGCCGAAATTTCTGGACACCTTGAGCTCCTTGCTGCGCTCCGGAGAAGACAAAGGGCCGCGCCATTTGATCTCTGCTGCCAGCGTCACAGAGTTGCAGAAAATGCTAGGACGCCGGTGCTCTCCCATCACCCCACTCCCAGCACCAAGTCACTTGGATGGTCTTCCAGCAAGGAAGCAATGGTTGGAGAAGAGGCAGAGGTTTCTACGGACAGAGCTTGAACAACTCCTCCGCGGCTACGCCGATCAGCACCCATGGGAACCAACATTTGAGCTGGAAATCATCTGCGGCGTGGCGAAAGAGAGCGCCTATCTCTCCTCCCATTGCTACCACATCAACTTCCTCGCCGCGGCATCCGACGGCACGCGAATGCTCTTCTTCGCTCAGGTTTGGGAGGAGAAGAGACCCAACAACACCGAGCAGTGCTTCAGTCTCTGGGTTCGTTACCACGACAGAGAATCGGAGGTCTCCTTCTGCTGTCCCCTGCCTTACTACAGCCCAAATGATGCATATCTTGGTAAGCGACTTGCAATTACTACTACTTTAACACATCGCTCTTGGTATTTTTGGGCTGTTCTTTTTTTGCCCACAACATGTTGTATATAACTGGATTAAGGGGCTTTGAAATTTCAGATCGAACACTATAGTGAAATGCTTTAACTAACTGAACAATCTCTTTCTTCACGTGCAGGGCGGTGCACCATTTGCGAGTTTGGCATGAGTAAAATTGTGCATCCACCTGTTGGCCTGCATATCGGAGCGACGCACACTGATTTTGGAAAGACACGTCCGCTTGGCTCAAATTTGAAGGTGTCCTCTCGTGCGGACGGCATCGTAGACACGGTGATGACCCAGAACAAATGCGCTTAACGAGAGCTGTCCTTCAGCAAACCTGGACAAGAACCTTCGGATAATGAGCCTGTCATGAGATCAAGATGTCCTCAAGCAGCGGGAGTTGGAGAGCTCAATTGTATTCACTGCTCAACAATGTTACAAAGTACAACATAGAGTGAGCTAACATTCCTAAAAACAAGGCACGCAGGCCATGAGCGTTAGTGGATCCTACAATCTAGGACTAGACTTAGTTACATCAGACTGTTACACAAATGTACACTAGAAAAACGCTCATGCGCTTGCAACGGGGCCACATTAACTTTAAGAGTTCAATATTAATCATGTTAATATTACATTTAATATTCTCATACATATCAAATGACATTGGTGACCTTTTTTACCATCAAATCCCCACACACACTCTCTCTCCGTACCTCTTCCTCACTCTCTCTCCCCCTCTCCCTCTCTCTCTCTAACACACACACACACATATCCATCTTATTGGGTATGGGACCATAATCCATCTATTTCACACACACACGCTAGTGCATAACAATATGGATTATGTGTATTATATTTGCCACCGCAACTAAGAGAATTTATTTCATGTAAATCGGCCAGCCACAGCTCCGTGACAAACAATACATCTAAATTCTCAGCGTTATTTTTATGTAATATGCATTATCTCTCTCTCTCTCACACACACACACACACTGATATTATAGGACCAAAAACTTTTACCAATTACCATACTGTAGAACACCACACTCCTCACTGCATCGATGGGCGTTGGGTGATGTCTCTCCTCTACCTGGTCACCTAGCATCCTCTAATTCTGCGCCACCATCTCGATTATCTCCCTTGGCACCGAATTGTAAACACCTGCCCTCCTTCTCCTCCTTCCCTGTGCTCCACAACACCCGAGCTGGCCGCGAATCAAATCTGGACTGCTGGTACGGGCGCCCATGAGCTAATACAACGATTCTCAATCAGACATGACAAGAATGTAAAAAAGAGCACATACCTTGATGCAGGAACTGCTGTCGCCTACCAAGTGAAGACCAGCACGTGCGCTGCTCTGCCGTGGACCTGTGCTGGCTTGATTCCATGTCCGCTGTTGGTCGTTGCTCGCATTCGTCCCACCCATCGCCCAAGTCGGCGTTAGGAGCAAACTCAATAGCCTTGCCCACCTTAATGGCTCCACACCACGAGATCGAATCAAGCATCATAGAGTTCGGGGAGGAGTAGCATTTCCACCGTCAGCTCCTCGCTGATGTATCAGCGTAGAGTGCGGGGAGGACACGGAACGTAAATACCTGGGGTTTAGCGTTGGTGGCGGGAACGACCGACACGGCCTCCTTGCGTCGCTCCTTGCTGCCCGCCCTGCTCTAGGGATTCTAGCGCCCTGCCCTAGGGTTACTCGCTGGCGGCGGCTGCGGCGGCGTTTCCCTCAAGAAAAAAAGCACGTCTCATGTCCGGCTTGTGCAGGAATCCATCACCAAGTAGGATCAGTAGTTCTGTCCTGAATCGGTTATGTTGCAAGTCCTAGCTATAGCTATATATGCGTATTACCCTGCACCCCTATAAACAGTACACCCGGAGACCAATAGAAAGATCAGCGGGCACGAGGCATGCCCGTGTGTATCAATTGCTTGCGCGTATCCGTGTTGCTTCTAGTAGATCGATACTACATCAACCGTGGTTAGCCAGCTACGTCCAATCTATTCGAGCGTTTTCGTCTGCGTACGTGTTTTTTCTGGTATATACTTCAGAATTCACTAATTCAGTCAGTCAGGGGCGGGATGTCTAAGCGAAGAAGGCAGGGCGAGGAGGATGAGCCCAACTACTACCACGACCGCAGCGGCAACAAGGAGAAGAGCCTCTATCTGGTTCTAGACGACTGGCACGAGGGCTTCACCATCCGCAAGATCGATGTCGACAGTCCCGACCTCAGCGCCCCCTGTCCTCTGACTAGTGTCACCTGAGCGTGGTCGTGCCATGAAGTTCGCAGCCCTGGGCAGCTACATCATCACCACGAGCAACATACACGCCGGTACCCTCTTCTACGACACTGACACCGTCGGACTGGCCGTCGGCCCTCCCGTTCCAGACGCACTGGCACTGCTTTGTGGCTCCAACACCTTCCTGACCTCCGGCGTCGGTGACGCGATGTTCGCGTTTGCCTTCCACTTCATGGAGCGGCCTGTGTCCTTTGAGGCAATGGGGAAGCCGCCGCCGACGGAAGACGACGACCTGCTGCCCATCGACTGGTCCTGGAAAAGCATGCCAACACCCTTCACCAAGGACAAGATGATCTTCTCCTACGCGCTGCACCCGGATGGGCGCACCATATTCGTGTCCTCGTGGAGCAGGGCGGTCTGCGGCACGTACTCCGTCGACACCAGGAGCTGCAAGTGGAGGCGCCATGGGGAGTGGATGCTGCCTTTCAGAGGCCGAGGCTACTTCGATGCCGAGCTAGACGCATGGGTCGGGCTGCACGAGGACGGCTACGTCTGCTCCTGCCAGGTTGCCTCCCGCAGCGGCGGCACCACACAGCAGCCGGAGTGGAAGATGGCCGCCGAGCGTAGGATGTGGATCCCGTGGCATCAGCTGGAGTTTCGCCTGCGTCGGATGTGAAGGCGCGGGCGGAGTACCGAGGAGTCGCCAGCGTCGGCCATGGCCTAGGGCACAGAGGAGTCCTCCTAGTCAAGGAGATCGGAGAGAAGAAGATGATGGTGTCACGAGGACACATGAGGGCAGGCGTCGAGAGGATCGGCCGTCCATGCTCGTGAGGAGGGCAGCGATGGGAGGATCGCGTTAATGGTACCGTGTACAAAAATCCCATCAAAGCAATTAAAATATACCATCAATGCTTGATTGATTCTGATTTAATTTTTATAGGCATTTTCGGATTTGTAGGGCATGTGCCCATGATCCTCGCACGTCGTACCTTTTTTTGACGTGTATGATTCATGATAAGAAATGAATCACATCAATGTAAGGAAATATCCCATCAATGCTTGATTGATTGTGATTAAATTTTTTATATGGTAACTAATCCGATGGGTTTATGTGGGCGGTGAAGCGAAAAGGCAGGTGGGAGGGGGGACGAAAAATAATCGGTCAGAAAAAAAGAATTGATTCTTGCCTTGTACGTTTGGTTTTGGTATTTAAAGATTGATTACCATTCGTTAGTTGGGTTACCAAAGAATAAATCAATCACCATATGTGAATTCATTGTGTTACCAAATAAACGTTAGGTTTGTCCTGCCAGTGGAAGGGGGCGAATAAAAAACCGACGAAAAAAACCAACGAAATTGGGAGGTGGGAGGGAGGACGAAAAAAACCGAACGAAAATGGTGGGACGAAAATAAACCTGGAACGCAGACTACCAACTGAGACATTAGGAGTAGAGATGAGTGTGGTTTAACACCCCCCTCAGCCGGAACTCCGTGCGGTAGGATGTTCAGGCTGGCACGAAACTCATGGAACACTTGAGAAGGAAGGCCTTTGGTGAACAAGTCAGCAAATTGTGAGCTCGAAGGAACATGAAGCACACGAGCCTCGCCAAGAGCCACACGATCTCGGACGAAATGTAGATCAATCTCGATATGTTTCGTCCGTTGGTGTTGTACTGGGTTGGAGGCGAGATAGGTGGCACTAACATTGTCACAATACACCACAGTGGCACGGGTCGGCGGACACTTGAGATCGTGCAAGAGCTGCCGAAGCCAGCAAGATTCAGCAACACAATTTGCAACACCCCTGTATTCAGCTTTAGCACTTGATCGTGACACGGTAGGCTGCCTTTTAGATGACCAAGAAATAATGTTGTTGCCAAGGAAGACACAAAACCCCGAAGTGGACTTGCGGGTGTCCAGGCAACCTGCCCAATCAGCGTCAGTATAGGCAATGAGGTCATGAGATGGTGACTCGTAGAGCTGAATGCCATAGTGTGAAGTGCCTTGGAGATATCGTAGTATCCGTTTGACCAGTTGCATACGAGTGTCACGCGGCTCATGCATAAAGAGGCAAACTTGTTGGACGGCATAGGAGATGTCCGGGCGGGTGAGGGTGAGGTATTGAAGTGTGCTAGCCAAGCTACAGTAGTATGTAGGGTTGGAGAGAATGTGACCATCGTGAAGAGAGAGCTTGGTCGAGGTGTCAACAGGAGTGGACAATGGTTTGCAATGAAGCATGTTGGCGCGGTCTAGAATCTCGAGGGTGTACTGTTGCTGGCAGAGAAACAAGCCGGAGGAGTTGGGAGTAACATTTATGCCAAGAAAATGATGCAACTCACCAAGATCCGACATGGAGAACTCCTGTTTGAGTGAAGCAATGATGGAGTGTAGGGTGGCAGGAGTGTTGGTCGTAAGGATGATATCATCGACATACACTAGAAGGTAGGCAATGTTGGATCCAATGTGGCGGATGAACAAAGAGGAATCACTCTTGGAGGCACAAACCCCAATGGAGGGCAAGAAGTTCTTGAACCAGAGGAACCACGTCCAAGGGGCTTGTTTCAAGCCATAGAGTGACTTGTTGAGAAGGCACACATGATCCGGGTGAGATGCATCAACAAAACCGGCCGGTTGAGAGCAGTACACTGTTTCCTTGAGATCACCATGAAGAAATGCATTCTTGACATCCAGTTGATGAATGGGCCACGAGTGAGAGGTGGTAAGGCTGAGCACAACACGAATTGTGGCCGGCTTGACAACCGGACTGAAGGTCTCGTCGTAGTCCACACCCTCTTGTTGAGTAAATCCCCGGACAACCCACCGAGCTTTATAACGAGCCAAGGAGCCATCCGTGTTGAACTTGTGGCGAAAGATCCACTTCCCCATGACAACGTTTACACCTGCAGGCTTAGGCACCAAAGACCAAGTGGAGTTATGGATTAAAGCATGGTACTCATCTTGCATTGCTTGCCGCCAATTTGGGTCTTTTAGTGCAGACTTGTACGTGGGAGGGAGAGGGGGGAGGGATGTGGAAGTAGAATCAGCGAGAAAAAGTCGTCGGGGCATGCAATACCC